CGCCCCACGCAGCCACCCCGGTGCCAGCGCTCCTGCCGAGGTTAATATTCACACGGTGGCTATATGGGATGCAACGGCCCGGTGCTTTCTGCAGGAATATCCCGCCGGAGCGGCACCGGGTGCTGCGGGCACGCTGGCCGGCTCCCAGCTCCTTCCTCGCCTTCTCCTCCTCCTCCTGGAAGCTTTTTTAGGGCAGGGACTGTGTCTCCGCCACTGCAGCACATTTATACAACAGGCTGCCAGTCCCTGCTGGCCTGATACGGAGAATTAATAATGTCTGGTAGCGTCTGGCCCGGGCTCAGCCGGCAGGATTACGCGCCGCCTTCCCGGCCTCTTCCCTAGGGATGCAGCCGGAGGCAGGAGCTGCCGCCTCCGGCACCGCATCCCGGCCGCGCTCCCTGCCCAAACCCGGACACCCATCCCTGGGGGACGAGGTCTACCCAAAACTCGCTCCCGGGCCGGCTCATCCCTATGGACTCCAGGAAGAGCTGCGGATTGGGATGCAGCCCCCGGGCAGAGTTAAAATTGAGCACGTTAATTAAACCCCTTCTGATGCAAAATCTGCTCGCTCGGTGCCCGCCGCGCGGACGCGCTTGTCCGCGAGGCTCCCTAAGGCACTTGCAGGAGAGGTGCCGCCAGGGTGAAAGGCAGAATTTTGATGATCCATACGTTGCATAATAAAATACATAAGTATTCCCAAATAAATGCAAGTAATCCAGTTAGCGCTCGCATGACTTTGTCACGTACTAAATTTAACAGCTGTCTCCTTTATGCGCACGCCTGCTGTTCGCAGCGCGCTAAATCGCAATCTTAATTCCCAGTTAATTGCGTGGCTCTCGTTCCCTGCAAAGCAGGTTCTTCCTGACGGGACACGCCGGATCCTGCTCCGACATGGGACATCCCACTTGGTAATTGTCGCTCCTCTCTGATTAGGGACGGGCAAGCGGTCAAGCTGGCAAGAAGAACTGGCAGGAGAGAGGGGAAAAACCGCAACCAGATTCCCGTAAATCTTCAGCGATCTCCTGGGATTTGGACAGAAGTGACAGGGGAACGGCTAATACCCATGAGGGCCCCGTAATGCCAAGTTCATCGACTCCGGCTAATCTATGAGATGCTGGAATAAACTGATTTTAGAGGAAGAATGCAGCTTTTCAGGAACGTCGAAAGTTTATTGAGTTGTCAAAAAAAGACTGGGACAGGATGAGCCGGAATAGGGACCAGGTGAGTGTCGGGTCTGTCACCTCATCCGGGCACAGCGAGAGCGGGAAGCGCCAACAGGATCCAGCTGGGAGGTCGCCACCCTTGTTCCTTTTTCCCTTGCGTTTTCCTACAAAAAACAGACTTTTTGCAGAGAAAAACAGGTAGCTCAAACCGTGGCCGGGTCCTGAGGAGGCTGCGTGCTAGAAGCCTGGATTATTCATGGTTTTAACGAGAAAAGGCGTCATATGGTCAATATTTCCAGACAAGGAGGCGCGTTGCCTTCCAGAATTCCTGTGGTGCTTTTGCCAGGGGATTTCTCCTCTTTCCCAAGAGCTCCTTGGACTGCATGGCAGGAGCACACACCATCTTCCAGCGTTTTTATGGGAAACACAGGGTTTAAGGGAACCCCAGTTCCGTGGGTAAGAAATGGACCGTGTTGTTTTCCCAGGCAGCTCCATCAGATTCACTTTGCCTCTCAAGTCAATACAAAATTGGGCTGCATTTTCCTTTTTCCCCCCCTTTTTTTAAATGCAATCCAGCGCAGCCGTCTCGGATGCAAACACGAGGTTTGCGGGAGCGCGATCCGCTCGGCTCGGCAGGGCTGCATCCCGCTCCGCGCGGGATCCGGCCCTAATTGCATCAACTCCAGATGCACCGGGGAGCATCAAGTCCCCGAGTGATCGATGCCGGTAAACGAATCGCGGGGCGGCGGGGAGGAGGGCGAGCGCTGATGCAACCCTCTCCCGAGGCGCTGCGGCGGCGCCGCGGGATCCGCGCTTAGCACAAGCAAATATGCTACGAAAAAACGCCCTGAAAGCACATTTTGGCTGCAAAAAAATTATTCGGCATCGAAAAAAAGCAAAGCCAAACTGTTTAATCCTGAAAAAAATAACCAGTCGTGTTTGCTTGTTCTTTCCCAAGTGAAAAACAGGCAAACGTGGAAAGTGTTTTGGTCTCGAGCCCAAATCCCGGTTTCCCTGCAGATGTTGCACTGGGGAATATCACGTTGCACCGGGAAACTGTTACCAAGTGGGAGCAGGAGGAGCGGAGCCGCCGGCCCCAGGTGGGAAGCGGCCCTGTCTGCATCTCGGAAATTCATGGGAACGAGGAAGGAGCCTGTTCCCATTTCGTTCATTGCTCCAGGCACCTGCGCCAGGCTCTTCTCGTCCGTCTTTTTTTTTGGAGCTTAAAAAGGGAGAGCGAATTCGCGAAGGCATCGGTTGCCGCTTTGCACTGAAATAACCGTTTTTTTCCCCAATCCGAGGAGGACGCAGGCCTGGGCGATCCCGGCGAGTTTTGCTGAAGACCCGAATTGGTGACAGTCCCCTTTTCCATATAAATCAGGGAGGAATCGCAATGCCCGCCCTGCGCAAAACCCGGCAGGAGCTGCCAGAAAGGTTGAGAGGGGGAAACAGCTCCGGCTTTCCAGACATTCACAGCCGATGGTTTGGATTTCCATGATTTTCCTGGCTAGTTGTCTGGAATCTAATGGAAAACGTGGCTGCTTGTTTGGAAAGTGGGAGAGGAAATGGGAAATGCCGGCGTCTCGCTCCAGGCCCGCTCCCGCAGCCCATATCCCAAAGGCACAAATGCTCCTCCAACCCCATGCAAAACCCAGCACGTTACAAATGAGGCAAAACGGTTAGGAAGGAATCACAACCCTTGGGGAAAAAAAAATAAAGAAAAAGCCCAAGAAAAGCCCAAGAAAAGCACAAAAGCTCCAAGGAGAGGTGGGGTCTGGGCTTTGCATTAAGTGCGTTGGAGCGACCTTGGCCACTCCGTGGGATTTGTCCCGGAGAGGAGGACAGGGATGCGCCCGGTGTCCGTGCATGGGGGGAAAGCTCCTGCCTGCCCTCCTGGGTCTCACTGCTGGTCCCTGCTGGGAGATTCCCTGGGGAAAGGTGGACAGGGACGGCCCCGAGACCGCTTCCAAGAGCCCCCGTCACCCACGGAAGGGTTCGGGGTCTCTCCGCATAACCAAGGGAAACGCTCTCCCAGTGAGCAAATCTGGGGGGATTTAACCCCAAAGCTCCGGGTGAGGGGGGTGCATTAACGGGAAGCGAAGCCGCTCTGTTGATTTAATTTCGGTTTCAGTTTGCTGCCTAAAATAAAAATGGGGTCGAACCAAATTCTGAAGCAAAACAAAACAGCACCGCAATGGAAAGCACTGTTTTTTTTCCCCTCTTCCTGGCTCTCCCCCACTTGGGGTCAGGGATGAAGTGACTCGGCACTTCCACACCGGTCGGACAAGCAAAAAACAGTCATTTTGGCACATGAACTCCAGGCAATATGTTTTTCCCACTGCCAAAGCCACAGAAGCCCGAAGGAGGCAGCACCTTCCAGCTCCGGAGTCTTCCTCTCCGCTCCGGACGTGACCGTCTGGCCGTGGCGGCCGGTCCGTGTCGGAGCGCCGGCACCGCGGGCGCCCGGATCGCAGCGTCGCGCCTCCCGTTCGGGAGCATCCATGGAAAACCTGGTGCAGCCTCCGCTCCGAACTCATTTAACCAAAGTTAAGAGGCAGATTCCAGCATGGTCTGGATTTGGGCCGGCAGCTGGGGCTGGAATTGCCTCGGGAATGCTGACGGATACGGTCCAGCTGCCAGGAGGGAAGGGGCCGATGTCCCCCTCCTGCCAGGGCTCTCTGCGGCATCCGGCCCCGCGGACCTGGGTGACAGGATGGAGCTCTGCCGGAATGGGTTAAAACCCCCCAATCCGCTCCAAAGAGAAGGAAAGCTCCAGTTCTGCCAGCAGGGCCCCAAGGGATGCTCCGAGACCGAGGATTCCCGCATCTCACCCCCGAGCAGCCCCGGATGGGCCCATTCCCGGTCTGCAGAAGGATGCAGAAT